GGAAATGCAGTGCAGGCGAGTGGAAATTCCTGTCAGGCTTGCGGTCGCAGATCGCGTACCTGACTCGTGGGAGCAGCTGCTTCTGCTGGTCTGTCTCCCTTCCTTTCGGCCGGAGCTCTTCACTGAGCTCCGGGTCGGAAACAGAGTGATTAGTAATGTCTGCAGACCTTACTAATCGCACCAGATCACCAGAGATCTGCCTGCTCGCCTCCTCCATTCAGAAAGACAAGCAGGTGAGGGGGCTTCCTTGTATTATGTTACATTGTGGGGGCAGGGAACAAGGGGAGGGGATTATGTTATGTGTGGGTGGGCAGGGAACAGGGGGTGTATTATTTTATACGTGGGGGGGGGGGTAATATTGTTAAAGTTGTTAATATTTTTTCTTGTAACTTTATTCTGCATAAAACATGTAACAGTCTCACTGACAAGATTATGTAAGAGGGTGTGTTTAGGGGCGGAGTTAAGGCTGCGGGAGGGTAGGGGTTAGGCGGGCAACTGGTGGCGAGTAACTCTTAAGGCCTGGCTAGTAGCTCAGGACTTGAAATTTTGACCCCTGGTCTAGGAGATTGTAGTTTCCAGAACTTGAGAGATCGATAGAGACCCCCTGGCAGGTCTCTCAGATGGAATCTTCGACTCAGGGTTCAGTCCTGCATCCCAAACCGGCCTTTTTTCACTTGACAGCCTGGATCTTGAGGAGGATTATAGAAGAGAATGGCTGCTCCAATAAGGTCAGTTATATGCTGCTTTCCAGTTGGACGTTGATTAGTAAGAAAAATGTATAACAAAAAAATTTGAAAAGTTTTTTCCTCTTGGAGCAAACAGAAAAATGTTTGTTACCTTTGTTCCTGTTATTTTCGATTTTTTGCAGGATGGTGTTGAGAAGAATTGGGCCCTTAGTACTTTGGAGGTGCAAATTTCTGCCCAGGCAAACATTTTTGCCTTGGGACATTTCTTTAGACTAAAAGTCTGTCCGAATCTATTGAGGGTACCTCTATTAAACAGTTATCTTTTAAAATGGCTTTTTTTTTTAATAGCCTTTACCTTTGCTAGGAGAGTAGGGGGGTCTTCAAGCTTTAACCATTAAAGAGCCCTCTGTTTTTCCAGACAAGGCGATTCTTCGACCTGACCCTTTGTATTTACCCAAGGTAGCCTCTGCTTTTCATAGATCACAGGACATTAATTTTGCCTTTTTGTGATAAGAGCATAAGAGGTGAATTTTAATTCCTTAGATGTCTACCCAGATACTTGGAAGTCTCCAAAAGGTTTTTAGGAGATCCAGCCATTTTTTCGTTGTCCCAAAAAGGTTGGTCTCACCTCCAGGGCTACTATAGCTAGATGGATTAGACAGACCATTGCTTTTGTGTATAAGGAAGGTTTGGATATTCCAGGGCCTTTAAAAAGGCACATTCAACTAAGTCATTAGCGACCTCTTGGGCAGAGAAGCCTGGCGCGTCAGTGAAACAAATCTGCATGGCAGCTGTGTGATCCAGTCAGGATACTTTGTCGAGCACTACAGATTGGAGGTCTTATCACAGCAAGATCTAGCCGTTCACAGAAAGGTACTACAGACAGTTGCCCTGCCCTAAGGTAGGCTTGGTGTTTTTTTTTTTACATGATTATCCTTTCAGGCTGCTGTCCTGGAAGATGATTGGGGAAATTCCTAGGTAAACTTACCGTTAAGTGTTTGAGAATCTTCCAGTACAGCGAGCCTAGTCCCCACCCTGGTTGATTAAACAAATAAGACAGACAGTTTATGGATGGGGGAGGGGGGATTCTCAGAAACAGTTACCTGTAAGTAACTGTGGATTTTATTTTGTTAGAGATTCCTTTTAAGCATGTAGACAAGAAAAAGCACCACAATAATTTAAAAACAAAGTATTTTCTGTATTCAAATTGAGACATTTGTCAAAAATAAAGACATTTCATGGGGGGAAAAAAAGCAGGCAAATTAAGTTTCACAACTCCAATATATTTGTAGATAAAAAAAAAAAAAAAGAATACATGTTGTACAGCCCCTTTACAAAACTGGATTCCTATCTTCACATAGCAACAAGAAGTCATAACAATACATTAAAATAGTCTGAAATAGGACTACAAAGATGAGGGGAAATCAAAAACCACATGAATGCTAAAGCTTCATGGATAATCCAAAAGAAAAAAGGTATTTTATGCTAGAATTCCATATTGTATTCCTACACTGAAGCCTGATTATTTTAAATACTAGCAAAAAAAAGTATTCCTTTAATCTACTAGAACCACATTTAAAATGTGTCATCCAATGTTTTCATTAAAAAAAATGTAACATGTCCAATTAGACTCCAGCTTTGTAAGGTCCAGACAAGATCCCAGTGTTCGTATCAAGCTTGTAGTGCACAGAACTGCTGGAAGACTGTCAGGATGTGATGATCCAATTCTGCTGTGAACAACAAGTTTTCCAGGGTCACCATGTACTGCTGGATTATCTGATGATGCTAAAAGAAACAATTATGTGGTTAGTATCACGTGCTTCAATTCATTCCTAGCAAGACAGTGTGCTGGAAGTTTTGACAGACCTGTAAGAAGATTTGCTGAAGCCTTTCTATACAGATCTTGTACCATGGAGTGATCACATCAATACCTCCAGTTTCACAGCGTACTAAGTGCTCCGTCAGAATCATGATAAAGCGCTGCAAGAGAACAACCATTACTGAAGCCTGTAAACCATGAGTGAGAAAGTAGAAGTGGATAAATTATTCAGCCAAGTTAATTACCTGGAAAATGACAAGGAAAAGATTTTTCTGCTCGCTTTGAGCAGACTCCACTTTCTCTTGTAGGCGCTCTATTTGTTCCTCCAGAGGCCCATCCTCCCTTCCACTGTCGTCATCATTGTCTCTCTAAAAACATCACAAAAACATAAGTCATGTGTGCAGAAGGCATTATCTGCCTAATAGGCAGCATACTATTTGCAGAACAGCATCTCAATGAATATAGTTTGTGTCCCTGGACATCTATGTTGTTGTTTCAATAATAGTTTTGTCTGAATTTTTGTGCTCATGATGATCATAGAAAAAAGAACAAAAACTACTTGCTACTTGTTACAGATACACTGGGACATCTTTTCTGAAGCTGTTGCAGTATGGGCGGAAGACAGATTCAAAATTAGGCTGACTTTGCCTCGGTGCTGGGAATAGCACCAGACATCTGTAAGTGTTCATTTTTTATGATTTTAAAGATTGAAGGTTTTAAACAGTTTAATACGTTATGAGAAATGTGATGCAGAGCTGAAAGCAGACGGTTTCTAAGCTCTGAGAGTCCATATTCGTCAATACCAATGGGCAGAGGCGTAACTAGAACCTTCAGGGCCCCGGTGCAAGAAACCATGAAGGCCCCCCCATCCCCCATGGCACCGCATGGTTAACAGGAAAGCTGCCGAGGTCCCCAGCAAGCGTGGGACCTCAGACAGCCGCTTGTTTAAAATTTTAGTGCGGTGTTCTGTCGAGAACGCTGACCCAGTATCTGTGATTAATTAGACAGAATTAACGAGGAAACCGGCATATAATTACAAAGTATTTGTTTGTAATGGTTAATTGTGATCGTTAATAATATGCCGTCCATGGCAGGAAATTATGGATGGAATATTATTAAGTCACAATTAACAGTTTAAACAAAATAAAAAAATCCCGGTTTCCTCGATAACACTGGTCTGTGCGTAAGCGCAGATGCTGAGGTCGGCAAATTCAACAGAACACCGGTATCTGCATTTAGTATCGGGGCATTTTCACGAGTGCTCGTGAAAATTCCCAGTATTGGCACTGTTGTATCCCTACTTAATATAACGTATTGCTGGGACTTGTAGTCCTACATAGTTGGTGCTATTCTGAATTGCTGTATAATCTACTCTTGGGTGGGCCCTCTTCAAGTTGCGGAACGCCAGGGCCCGGTCGCAATTGCGACCCTGGTAGTTCCGCCAGTGCCAATGAGATTACTACAGGAAACCCTATTTTGACCTCACCTCTCAGTGGGTTGTCTGTCTCTAGTGAGTGGTTTTGCCTCAAGGGTGCACGTGTGAAGGAGACACACTGATTTTTCTTCCAAGACATCTATCACACTATGATGCAAATCGATTTCCCATGAACTGGTTTCATGGGACAGTTTACTGCACTTTAATACACTATTTATATTGTATACATCAGCTTGATCGCAAAGCAATCCCTGGTAGATCGCGATGTCCTGTCCTCCTGCCGTGGGGCTTCTCTGGATCCCCGCTGCTCTCCCCATCTGTATGCATCGTGGATCCGAGAAGTGAACTAAGCGCTATCACAGCAGCACGCCGGGCGGTGAGGAGAGAGGGCCACTCGGCCTGGATCTGACAGCCGGCAGCTCTCTCTCTCTCTCCTCACATACCGATCCTCTGTGCAGGACAAACACTGGAGCAATCAGCTGATCACTCCAGTGTTTGTAAATAACTGGGGATACATAGTACTATGTGTCCCCAGTTATGAATAAACAGGATGTGCTTTACATCACTGCCTGTTCATTCATGAGATTCTCAATGGGGAGAAGCAGTCTGTACAGAGGCTCCTCCCCATTCAGAAACTGGATGATAGTAAATAGTTTCGGAATGAATGGGAAGGCTCTGTGCTTTCCATTCATTTAGAACAGAGGCTGCAAAAAAAAAAAAAAGGGAGGAATTTTTGTCCTAAATTTCTTTTTCTATTTTAAAAGGGAAATATCAGGGGGCTGTTTAGACCTCTATTTCCCTGAAGGTACTAATGTGCCTGCATTCCGGGTGGGGGGTGATCGCACTGTGGGTGAGGGCCGTGGCTGCGGTGCCATTGACTTCAATGCACCGCCATGCTGCCCCCCCCAAATGCAGGCGTTTTTCGTTGACAGATCTCATTGAGCTTGTCATATGAAAAAGTGAATCTGAAAAAAGTGGGTCGCCCCTGGTATACATGTTGGGGAACTGGCTTGTGTATATGTGATTAGTAGGGTTACACTATATTTTTGGTATTTGTTATCTTTTTTTTATAATTGGCACAACTGCTTAGGAGTTGACAGTCAGGAGTGCAGGACTTGGCACATTATTAGTTACTTATTCTCTGCAGGAATCCTGCTGAGCCATTGCACAGAGCTCAATGTACAGAGAAAAAAAAAAGTACTGATAGGCAGGAAGGAGGATCAGTGACAGAAGACAATCTTACACATTCTCATCGGTCATAAGCCTGCCAGCAAATTTTTTTTTTTTTTTAAATATGACTACCATATCCACTTTGAACTGACAATTGCCCGACTCAATACATTTAATTTTATCCTATGGATTTATTTTTGCCACCTAGCTGCTTTAGTATCAAAATCACTAAAGCTGCTGGTACCCTTATCTTCTATATGACCTCAAGGTCAGGGTCTTGGAAAATGCAGTCCACTGTATTCAATATGACAAACAATGCCTTTATGACAAACAATGCCTTCCCTCTGAGGTCACTTTACCCATGAGCACTGGCGGATGAATGATTGTATAGCACATAATTACTAGAGACCTCAGTCTTTCCCAGTAGCCCATTAAATCCGTATGCATTGGATTTTATTAAACTCAGAGTTGTTGGGTCAGAGTTCTGCCAATGTTTTCCACGGTACATCAGCCGATCACCCATTGTCTGGATTTGCTGATTTTGTTTACTGGCATATAGCCCTGTGTATTAGCAGTGTATACATAGCATAACACCCTTTAACATCAGCGTCTAAAATCCCACAAATTGCCTATTCCCTCTCCAGATCACATACACGTTTGTGCTGCTTGGCCAGTCTTTGCTTTGTATCTTCCAACTCCTTCTGTATTCTCTGAACATGTTTATTCATTTTCCTAATTGTAGAATGCAAAGTTTCCCAAATGTACAGTCTACAAAAGAAAGCAACAACAGATAAAAATATCAAAATTACACCACAAGTCCAGTTAAATGCAACTAACTTCTATGAGCTAGATCATTAGGTCGATCGCGTAGCGATCACTGGTAGATCGCGATGTCCTGTCTTCTCTGGATCCCCGCTGCTCTCCCCCATCTGTATGCAGCGGGAATCTGAAGAGAAGCTGCAGCCGGCGGCGGGGAGGGAGCCGCTATCACAGAAGGAGATGAGAGCCGCTTGGCCTGGATCTGACAGCCGGCGGCTCTCTCTCCCCTCACCACACATGCTGCTGTTACAGTGGCTCCACCCCACCAGCTGAAGAGTGCTTCCTTCACTTCTCCTCGGATCCCCCACTGCCTCTGCCCGGGAGAGCAGGGGGGGATCCAGAGGAGAAGTTGCAGCCCCCCTGTGTGCGTGGCCGAGCGGCAGAGGATCGGTACAAATCAGTGATATTTACCGATCCTCTGTGCAGGACAAACACTGGAGCGATCAGTTGATCACTCAAGTGTTTGTAAATAACTGGGGACACTAGTACTATGTGTCCTCAGTTATGAATGAACAGGATGTGATTTACATCATCACTTCCTGGTTCATTCATGAGTTTCTCAATGGGGAGAAGCACTCTGAACAGAGGCTCCTCCCCATTCAGAAACTGCTTGATAGTAAATAGTTTCTGCAGAAAAAGAGATTGAGGACTTTGTGTCCTCAATTTCTTTTTCTATTTTAAAAGAAAAATATCACGGGGCTGTTTAGACCCCCAATATTTCTCCAAAGCCCCCAATAGTAAAACAAATATTAAAAATTATATAAGAAATAAAAATAAAGTAAAAAATAAAAAATCCTGGAGGCAGGGTGCTGGGTGACATCACACGCCTGTTGGGGGGGCACTTTTTTTTTTCTTTTGACACTGGCGGAAAAGGAGCTGGCTATGCTCCCGCGGCTGCCGGCTGAATGTTTCAGATGCCGCAGACGGAAAGGGGCTGGACACATCTTCCCGTGTGCAACGTCGGCCACATGAGAACAGCGGGAGGACAGGACGCCGGCACCACCACGCCCCCTCCAGCCCCTGAATACAGGCATTTTTTCTTTGGTAGATCTCATTGAGCTCGTCATTTGAAAAGTAGATATCCAGATGAAAAATTGTGGGTGCCCCTGAGCTAGATCATAATATACAGTGGGGCAAAAAAGTATTTAGTCAGCCACCAATTGTGCAAGTTCTCCCACTTAAAAAGATGAGAGAGGCCTGTAATTGGCATCATAGGAAAACATGAGAATGCTTAGATTTTTAAAGGTTTCTAGAACTCCTAAGTCTTCACCATACATGTGATCATCTGCATGCATAAGGTAAGGCCCCATTCACACATGAATCGGCCGGCACGTACAGCTCTGTGCTGGGCCGTACCAAGTAGCTGCCGGGAAGGACAGGTGCTGCGTGTGATTAGTACGCAGCCCCCATCCTGCTCTATGGGGCTATGGGGCTATGCGGCCGTACGCCCCCTTATGCTCACCTCAATTGCAGGTCCATAGGGGTGCAGGTTTTTCTGGCCGGGACGCATATAGGATCCATTCCGGCGCCGTATGAATACGCTCACCCGCACCCCCACGGACCTGCAATTGAGGTGAGCGTGGGGGAGGGGGGGCGTACGGCCGCATAGCCCAATAGAGGACGGGGCTGCATCCCACACGCAGCACCTGTCCTTCCCGGGAACTACTTGGTATGGCCCCGCACGCAGCACGGAGCTGTACGTGCCGGCCGATTTGTGTGTGAATGGGGCCTAAAAGTGGCTGATAAATTGTTCACCTAGCTCGATACAGGCAGCATCATTCAATATAATGTTGCTCAACTTTAAACACTAAAAGGAGGGGAAAAGATCACCTTGTGAACTCCTGAGATAACTCGGGTGAGAAAATCCAATTGGCCACAGCAGCACAGTCAACAATCTGGGTCCGTATAAGCTTATCTACAAGTACTGCAGTCATCTGTAAAACACAAAGGATATTTTACATATTTGGACAAGCTAATTTTGCATACTTTAGTTTATTAGTGAAGGTAAAATAATTTGGCCCTTATCTGCATACTTTTGTTAGTAGGTAAAATATCTTAACCCTTTCGCTGCCAAGGACGTATGGCATACGGACCTACACTGATAAAAGGCCTGCTTTATCTTGTTTCTTTTTACTGCTCTTGTAACAATCTCCACTAAATAGACTTGAAGATTTATTTAAAAATAGCAAATTTGAAAAGGTGCTTTTGTCCAAGTACTGAAGTGGCAGTTATCTTTGCACTGCCATTATGATACAATGTAAACTAACATAATACTGAAAAGATGTGGTAAAACGTCCCCGGATTTAACAGCCTCCAGATATTGAACTGTAAAGTAAGTGCCCATTCACACTGTTGCTGTGCGTTGCCCAGCACAGTTCTGGTGCACCAATCCCAGCACATAAGTTATATTTATTTCAAGAATTTTACAAGTTACATTTCATTAAGTTCTATGGGCACAGTGTGGTGGGAGGCGGTTGTGCCGGGTCGCATTGAAAAAACAAAACAAATATCAATTGCACACCACCACAATGTGATAGTGTGATCTGTGCCCATCCGCGACCAAGCAAATTACCTTGTCTTGCGTTGGTCTTAACCCTTGTTAAAATGCTTAAATGCTTAATGCAGGCAGATATTTAAGATACAAATTAATGCAGAGGTAATGTGCCAACAAGAAATTAGCTCATCTGTGTGCGGCTTCTTTTTTTCCCCAGACACAAGCTGGGAGAGGGACAAGACCTGTAAGGGTTCCCTAGCTGCAACAGAGAAAAATCAGGACTTCTGCCCAGCCACACGTCTGTGCTGTGCGGCAGAGCGGTGTCAATATCAAGAACAAACAAAAATACAAATCCTTTGACAGGTAAATCAGCGTTGTATTAGCAGGATTAGGAGGCCTGTTCGCTGCAGTACACTTCCCCTGGAATTATGACGGTACATCTCTAACCTCAGAAATAATAGAGACCATAGCATGCACCCCAAGCTCACAGAAAGCTGCAAACCAATACCCCCACATCCCGGTCTGCTTCCTGCCCACAGTGCTACATACAGTATTTTTTGCAATCGCACTATACCAGAACACAGGCATTGTTGTGCCATGCGTTCTGGTGCGTTCAATTGCACTGCAGGCGGGGGCGTGGCCATTGACTTCAATGCACCGCCACACCCCCACATGAACGCAGAAAGCCGGCAGGAATGAGATACAGTGCTGCAATGCACTGTAACTCATGTGAACATGCCCTAAAGCTGACAACACATACTGGTTCTACAGCTTTAGGAAGGGCGTGAGCTTACCAGATTGGATATAGGACTATTATCTATGGGCTTTATTCGCTTCAGAACTGTATTGGAATGCAAAGCCGCTAAAGCTGGTAAAATGCAGGTCAACCGCACCTGAATGATCTCATAAGCGTCTCAACCTGATGTCAAAAGCACCCTGCACCTATCAAAGCCAGGTGACACAGGCCCACAAACTGCTTAGGTAGTCTCACACTACATAGTTGCTGGTAAATGAAAAAGGAGATTGTTTAAAATGTGCAATGCATGGCAGGTATTAAAATGAACCACCTGCAGACTGGCAACTGTATTAAAACAGCTGGCATTGTTCGTACAGGTACATCCTCCTGTGAATATGTGTGCTCATGCAGCCACGACCACTGCTCCTGCGGTAATTAGGACAGCAGAAAACAGCAGCTTTAGACAGAGCCGATCGGACCGGCTTTGTGTCCTGTAAAATCGCTAAGATTAGTTATTCAAGCAATCACATGGCAAAATAAAAAAAAATTACATTTTTTTTTCACCCTTTCTGCTCTTATTTCAATTCTAGCTTTACTCTGGTGTGTATTAACCCTTTCATCTCCCTTATCCTGCACATCTATACATTAACCCCTTGATTTCCACCCTCCAACTGTGTGTGACCTGTACATTTATCCCTTCACCTCCTCCTTCGGTTTATGACCTTTACATTTATTGCATCTTGTGCACTATTCCCAAGCTCCATGTTTTAACCCCTAAAATAAAAATTATAGTACAAGGCAACTGGACTTTTTTTTTAACCCCCCCAATGCTAGCACTTTTCTTTATTTCCATAAAACTGCAGCAAAAATATCAGGATCACCTTGGAGCATACTTTCCAAAAAGTGGTAATTTCAGAGATTTTTCTACTGTCATTTTTATTTTCCAAGATTTAAAAAAAGGAAAGTGGGAAAAAAAGCCCCCCCCCCCCCCCC